CCCACTTCAAGTCACCTGACAATTTGGCAAATATATTATCTATGACTTTATCTAAGTTATTGATAAAAATGTTAAAATGTTAAACGTCCCTCTCTGCCAGGGAAAGGATTACTAAGTACAACACTTCCAGTCAATGGAGGACTGAATTGCAGGTAGTTGTGAAGGTAGCAGTTCAATTAAGGAGCCTAGCTGAGACCCAGAAGGAGGCTGAAAAGGCAAGTTGAAATATCTGTAGCCTTTCCTCTGCAATACAGAGGCTTATGACCCATAGTACTCAGTGTTTAGCGGAAGTTGCTAAAAGTGTTGATGAAAAAACTGTAACCACAACAACCCAGCAGATGTTGTACAGGACGTTAGATGACCCTAAAGCTCAAGTGGACGAGCGGCTGGAGTCCAGAGCTGCTCCTGGCAAGAACATTGGAAGTGCTATCTGGTGAAAATCAGTGCTCGACTGGAAACAGCTGAAATGCAACACAGCTGGGAACCACGCCCGGCAGAGGGCAGCATGGAGATATTTGAAGCTTTGAAATATTAGTCATCTTTCCATGTATGCGCCCTGGTCATATACATTCTAGAATTCATCCCTTCACATAGGCACCCCGGCCTTTGGTGTTCCCATATGTGGATGAATTCTAATCAAAGTTCACTTATCCCATTATATATTCATGGGAGAAGGAGTTCCAGGTTTATAGAAAATGAAACATTACTATTTCATGTATACCACCAGCTAATTCAAATCTCTTTGTTGTGAACTGGGTGTCACTGGGCTTAGTGGTAAAACAAGACATAAGATAAAATAAAACAAAACATTAGTGGGGGCTCATAAGCTATAATTTGAGAGGATTTGGAAGTACAAAACACTTCCACACTTGGGTAGCCAATTGGAGGTCTCAGAATGAGGAGGCCTATGGGAGCTATAGGTAATAGACAAATATATTGGCATTGAAGTCACGTGTGTATACCAGTGAAACAGTACAGTTTTGAATTTCATTTCAGAAAAAGAGGTTATGCCCTGATTTTTATCTAAAAAAGGCCCTAGCATAATAATTCAATGGCGACCAATCTACTGTTTATAAAAGAATTGACTCAACTTGTAACGATTTTGCCTTGCAGAGGCTGATTTTATAAAATGAGCATGCACAAAGATATCATTGTTAGATCAAACCAACTTGCTCAGGCGGCAAGGTATAACAGAAACAGGGTTGGACATAGTGTCAGATACCTGGGTTCAAATCCAGCATCTCATATTTATTTAGCTGTGTAATCAGAAGCAAGCCACTTGTCTTCTTTGGGATCTAATTTCTTCATATATAAAATGGTAGTTATTGTGTGTATTTGTGTACATACAAACACATATGTAGATATAACATCATATACACATATGTAGTATATCATATCTACATGTAGATAAGTTATTGTACTATTGAACTCACAGGGTTGTTGTGAGAAAAGTCCATTTGTGAACTTTCAAATACTTTATCATTGTTGTTGATATTATAGCAGCAGAATTTTAACAGATTCCTTAAGATAGGTAAATGGGTCAACCTGACATCATTAGACTAATAAAACAGATTTGCGGGAACATACGGTTAATATTAAAGAATTTTTGTGACCTTACTTTAGAAGAAATAAATGCTGTTCCATTAGATTAACATTTTGGCTTTTAAATCCCAAGTCTTTGATCAACAGATAAAATTATCTTTTATATGTAGGAAATTAATTGGTGTACAACTTCAAAAGTAAAACTGCCTTTTTTGTAGAATAACAAGTTAAATTTACATCGTGCTTTACATATGATATAAATGTAAATTTACATGTAAATTTACACATGCTTTACATCACTGAAGCCTCAAAATAACCATGTGAAGTAACTACCATATATATTATACATCATGCACAGGATGCTTGACTTGAGTTCAGATCTAAATTCTAATACTCTCTGACTGATCCTGGGCAAGTCACATAAGACCTTTGAGGGGTTGGATTGGATGGCTTCTCAAAGCTCTCCCTTCTAGCTCCAGATCTGCTCCTCTAAACTATCCACACTTATCTTCTATCATATATACCTTAGTATTCACTTTAGCCTATGCATTTGGATACCAGTGTTTCCATCAAGTCAAAATCTGATAGAAAATACTCAAAAATATTCAAGCGAAACTGTGATCTCATATCAGTGAACACTGCTCCTAGGGATGCCAATCACAAGCCATCCAGGCTTTCCATTCCTCATGATTCATTTCTGTGCCCTTCCACATATTTGCCACAGGACGTCCATCTAACGTGCTGGGGGCCTTCCACACTTTCTCTTGGCTTCATAAGATCACCAGTGGAGTCCATGGGTTGCCCATCAGTTATCTCTTGCTTTTACCATGTGACCAGTCCACGGATTGAAAATATCATAGAAAATTATTTGAAACAATTAAATCAAGTCTAACATTATTTCAAAATAAAATACCAAATAGGATAGAGGCCTAATTTATTTTCATAAGCAACATAGGCAATATAATTCTATCATCTGAATTGCATTTAGAATTGTTTATTCTGTTTTATTTATTAAACTGATTTACTTCTAACAACAGCAGAAATTACACCTTTTAAAAATTCATTAAAACATTAGAAAACCTTTCAATTGAAATGTTGGTTTTATATGCTTTCTCTACCATCTGCTGGTTATAGCTATTATTACACGTCTTGTAAATTTAAATATTTTCTAGCCCCCTAGTGGCCTTAAAAGTTTAGGTGAGATATGAACTGCATGAAACCTTTCTGAATTTTCCCAGTTCTCAGTGCCCTGATCACCCAAACTATTTAATATTTGCTGTGTCTGTTTTCATTTGCCTGTGTACCTGTTGTTTCTCCATTATAAAATGTAAGCTCCTTGAGGGCAGGGACTGTTTCATTTTTGTTTTTTGTAGTTCCAGAATTTAGTACAATATATGGCACTGAGGAGGCAGAAAAGCTCTTCCTTAAATTGGATTGAGGACTTTTCCATCTATAAGCGTCCTTTTCCTATTTGTCTTATCATATAGTTTCTCAAAAATCATTATTCAGCTATTTCATCTGATGTTTACAAGCTAAGAAATTAGTAGGAATCAAGTTAATACATTTTGGAAAAGAGACCTTCACTAGACGGGGAGATAGTTAGTGTGTCTAATAGAAATGCAAAACGGTGCTTCTCAAAAAATTAGATAGAAGAAAACCAAAAAAATGCACAAGTGGGGCACAGAACAACAGAGAAATCTTGCTGCTGCTGCTACTACTACCGCCACCACTACTACACCTGTTATCACTACCACTGCCACTACTACTGCTACTATTACCACCACTGCCATGACTACTACCACTACTACTGCAACTACTACTATAACTACCACCACCACCACTTCTTCTTCTTCTACTACTACCACCTTGACACTATTCCCACTACTATTGCAATTACTACAACCATCACCACCACCACCACCACCACCACCACCACTATTACTACTACCACCACCACCACCACCACTATTACTACTACCACCACCACCACCACCACCACCACCACCACCACCACCACCACCCCACTACCGTCATCACCACTATTACTATCATGTGTTTACAATTGGATGGAACTTGAACTCTGGTCTTCTTGGCCCTGAGTCCCCCCCCTCACAATTACAGCACTTCCTCACCTGTAAACACTAAGGAGAAACCTCAGAGACAGGATGACCTTAAGTCTCACCTCTGACACAAATGGCCTATGGGACCCTGGGTAAGTCAAAACCTTTCAGTGTTTTGGGTGATATCCTAAGACTGAAAGCTGCGCACTGGGAGGAGAGGCTGCACGTGGTCCCCTGGCTGCCAAGGGTGAGGCTGCACACTGGGATGAGGGGCTGTCCACCTGAAATGATAAAAAGGAACTTTCAATGAGCAGTTCACTCTATCAGTGAAATCACAAGTTTATTCTCTATGTCTATCCATAAAATTTATATGGAATTCTAGGCTAATGATCTGACGGTGGTCCCCCAACTCCAATCCAGGACTTAATCCATCATGCCACTTAGCTGCTTCTCACGGTCCCCAAAGCCCTTTGCCATTATATTATGTTGATGATGATATTCATATCGCTTAATGTTTGCAAAGATTTTCATATCAGTTATCTAATTTTGTCCTCAAAACACTCCTGAGAGGTAGCTGTGAGGTACTATTATTATTCCCATTTAACAGATGAAGAAGCTGAGGGTAGATGTGGTTAAGTGTCAGGGTCACACACAGCTTTGGAATGTCTGACACACACATTCTGATTTTTGATCCAATCTCCCTGCCTCCAAATCCAGCCCTCCTTCCACCAGGACACCTAATTGCCCCTCAAGGGCTGCAAAGTGTTTTTCCACCTATTATTTCATTTGGTAAATTTTCAATTTAATATCCAATTAACCAGAAATATTGAGATTCTTATACAATCTTCATTTGTTCTTTGTATATTGAAATACTTGTGTTCGCTAATTGGCACATTACAAATAAAAAGAAGAAAATAACCAAATCCTAAGTAGGAGTCTGACACTTGAGTAGCCACAGCTACCCACATGTAAACAACCCAGAGAAAAAGGAGTTGGGATGAAGACAGGAAGCTGCACGTGGTCTCCTGGCTTCTAAGGGCCGGGAGGCTGCGCACTGGGAGGAGAGGTTGCATGTGGTCCCCAGGCT